TTCACCCAATTTCGTTTAAGGATGAGAATAACTTTTGGGAAAGCAAGGCTATGTGAAATTGAATGGAAAGTTCAGCTCAACTCATATCATTGTGGGAAAATTCTTCTTCTACTACCAGTCCTTCATCGCCTTAGACGAAATTGAGCGAATACATCTCATACTACTGATTTACTGGTAGTCGCGAAACTCTACTTTAAAACGAAAATAAGAAATCTTGTTCGCAGCGGTGACATGTTGGAATTCTCTTCTCATTTGTTTATGCATACATTTGCCGAAAGAGGTGGCAACGGTTATGGCACAAAAAGTACAAATGTCTGTTCATGAATGTTGCCATTGAATGAGAAGTAGGCAGTACTTATTGTCGAATTGACTAATCGACTTAACGTCTCGCTTCTGATACTCTCTGCTTTTGAGATATCCTCTTCTCGATCCACACTTTCTAACAGATCCGTCAGCGCTTTTTCTCCAGCAATGCTTGTGTGCACAGATGGTACCTCAAAACTGACCCGTAATTCTCTCTCTTACAGTCTCATGTTTTTGATTTTCTGAGCAAATTCACATGAGTGCCTGTGTCGCTCACCTTCTACAGTTTCAGACATGTGAACTTTGCACATTTGTGTGTTGCTCCATACTTATCGTTGACCATCAGCCTTAGTGGTACTCCTTCTTTATGCGAATTCGGTAATCATTGGGCCGTTAGTGTTTGTGAATCCTTTTTTGTTAGTTGGTTTATTGTCTATCCATTCACCTGCTCGTTCCTATGCATACCTTTCAACATGCCAAAATGTTGTGGCCTCTGGTATGGTCGCAGTCTCCTTTCGATTTATACATGTGGGTTGACCTCGTTTTCACAACTTGTTCTTGTTGTCAGGGTGACTTAGTAGAACGTACCAAGTCCGAAGTCGTAGTTGTCATGATTCCCAGCATCAGACAGTGGACTCGGTACATTCTCAAACGTTTCGCCGGCATCGTAGTCGGCATCATCAGTCAGTTTTGCCATTCTCCGCGCCAAGACACGAACTCGTCAAAGAGACAAGTCAAGTCAATTCCCCGAAAACGGTTACTCCATCACACCTCCTTCTGTCCTGGCCTATCTATCTACTCTTTACCCTCTTCTCCCAGTCATGACAACTACTATGGCAGACGACCTTCGGACTAGGTGTGTTCTACATAGTCGCCTTGACAACAAGACCAAGTTGCGAAAACGAAGTCAACCCACTTCTATGCCACGTAAAGTTCAATTTATTCTCATAGTTGGGTCCCTCTTGACTACTAGATACATGATCCTGTCTCGCAGTACACCCCCCCCTTTTCTCGGTGTATTGTTTTCTGCCCATCACGACTGTCGCTCCTCCTTTATCCGCCTGAAGGACCGAGTGTTCATTCCTTTCCAGGGTCGTGCGTATCCTCACGTATCTGTTCATGTGCGTTGGT